AATTATATTAAATATCATGATGTAATTAATATAATTTAATTTGTAATTTACATATTTGTAGTGTAATTATCATATTTACTGTCATAAACACCAATACTAATAAACGCATTCCTGGCGTTCAAGTCGTCAAACAATTGAAACAAAAATTAAAAACTGATTCAAGTCTTATTACACCCGATGTTCTATCCCTGGAAACAATGGGTTAGTTTTTAATGAATTAAGTGATGATTTGATCAATTAGTTTATCTTTTATCTAAAGTGTGTCAAAATGAGTGTTCAAATCACGGCTCATGCGATCAGTACAGCAAACAATGTTTATGCGAAGCATTTTGGATGCAAGACATAATCCGATTTCATTTCGGTGATCGTGAAAGCAATTGTGGTAATTATCATTTTAGATATACTGTAGATATAATGCTTACTGTTACATAAACATGTATTGATAGTTACAATTACTGTATTATCAAAACGACAACAATGTAACTGTTTTGACCCCTCAATTATCTATAGATTGGAGTGTGTTATATGTGATCGTCATATCATTCAGCTTTGTATTGGCAGTAATGGCATTGTTTTGGACGTGTGTTTGCTGTGTGTCGCGGCTGAAGAGCCAGAAGCGTCCGGCGCTCACCAAATCGCGTCGCTATCGTAAGTCTAATCGCAACAGATATACACTTCTGGAAGACGAGAACGACGACACGTTCACTGCAGACAGGATTGAACTGTTGGCCAATAATGTGAAAGAACTGAACGCTCGCAACGCATACCTGTCCGTTGACGACGACTCCCTCTCCGACACGTTGTTCTCAAACACTAATAATCATAACTTACTTAATAATAAACTTAATTCTCAGTCCAATGATCACCAGAAACGGCACCAAAAGTCACTCAATGGTCTCATATCTGAGAGAAAGATTCGCACTTAAGGATTGATAGGAACACCACTTGTTTTACATAAAAACATGTTTTATANGTCCAATGATCACCAGAAACGGCACCAAAAGTCACTCAATGGTCTCATATCTGAGAGAAAGATTCGCACTTAAGGATTGATAGGAACACCACTTGTTTTACATAAAAACATGTTTTATATATAATTAGCATTTTGCTGAAAGTCATTGTGTATTAAGTGTTCAATTGTCTGGTCTATAGTGTTGTGTTGGCTAATCTACTACACAGCTGGATAGGTTTTGATCATGAACAATCAACATTAAATGTAACAAAAATTATTGTTCATTCCACTATGATATATTTATGTACCGTATTATATTTAGAGATATAGACTATATCATATAGTCTCATAGAATTATTACCGTATTACGCCGCATATAAGTGCATGCACTTATAAGTGAATTTCACAGATTTTACATGTCACCAAAACTACCGCACCTATATCCGGATATAAATGCACCCCTTGTGTAAAAATCACATATAGGTGCACCAAAATTTATTTGTCAAAATTATTTATAAAATGTTAATAAGTTAATGAGTAAATTATACATTTATTAATAATTAAAGCAAATATATGAATATTTCATATATCTGATTAATTTGATTATTAGAATTGATGTATCATTTGAAGTGTCACTTGATGTGACACTGTCCATTGTTTAAGACATTTTACACAAATGTACTCAACCTTTATTAAACCCACTAATTTTTAAAAAATACACATATTTCAAACATTTAGACACGCTTTAGTGTTAAAAGTCTAATTACAGATCCTATTATTTTAATTTTAATGTATATGTATATTTCAACTAAAATGTAAAAATTGTCTAAAAAACAACCGCACCTATATCCTGATATAAGTGCACCCCTTGTGTGAAAACTCAGATATAAGTGCATGCACCTATATGCGGCGTAATACGGTACAACTATTTATACTTAAATTTTAAGATTTACTTAATTTTGTGTTTTTAATAATGTAATTTGTATCAGAGATTTATTTTAATAAATATAAACCCATATAATTTTCATGATTACATTTACCTGCAAATCAATTATTTAATTAAAATAATATTTAACAATATTGAACATAGCTAATTTTGAAATATTCCTACTAAATATTAAGTAAATTATATTTCAATAAATAATTATATCCTGAATTAAATAATGACTCGCATAATAAGACTGCCTAAACAAATGACTAATGAATATATTTGTCAAAACAATTTTAAAACATCTACCATATCCTTTATTAAACAAGGTTTACACAGCGATGCTCTACGTTAACCACAGTTCGGTTATTGCCACGAAATTCGAGGTCTACAAGTGTTCACATACAACGTACACACCGTATAAATTGATCCATGTTAACGTATAGCTATAGGATTAACATTAAATCTAGGGTGATCAACTTCCATTTTGGAAAAGAGGACATTTCAACTAGTTTTAGAACACAAAATAGAAAAGATACAATAAATATTTATGACAAATAGAGGACACAAATTTTAACCTTGGTTTTCATAGTAAATCTTAAGAGTACTCTGCTCAAAATATATCCAAATAGAGGACTGTCCTCTAAATAGAAGACAGTTGGTCACCCTAATTAAATCCCATAGATTGAAAAAGATGTGAGGGAGGGGGCCAAACGATCCTATAAACTATATTCTTTATAAAAAAAACCTGTGGTTTAAATAATAAATGATATTGCTAATTTTAAAATAAAATTTTTTAAAAATAATAAGCTGATGGTTATCCTTAAATTGTTTAAGTATATAATTGAGTTTCAGACATATTCTGTTTATTCAATGTTCGCCGTCGTTAATATTAATATTACATTTAACAATCGTAAAAATATTTTTGTTTTATAAATTCAATTCATTTTCAATAGTATTTGAATAAACAATGGACTCGTATTTGCATTTGAATTCGTGGTATACCTATGGACTGAGTGTTACGATCGTTGGTTTGTTAATATATAAGTAAGTTTTTAAAATAATTTGAATTTGATTGCTTTTTGATTTAGCTTCATATAATTTAATTGACGATACCTACTGATATTATTATTAGTATTATTATGCTATTATTATTATTATTATTATAAAACAGTAAATAATATTAAGATTTAATAATGTTTATTGAAAATGAAATAAAATGTATTTAATTACATAACATAGAGTGACACGATTCAGTGTCTAAACTTTCTATTGGTTGAAAATACTGTAATTTTGCATTAGTTTTTGAATTGTATGCCTTATCTCGACGGACAATTAATCTATGAACTGTATTGAACATGTTCATACCAGTTAGAATAGACTAAGCGATTTATTATCCAAACTTTTTCCTTTTAAGTTAAGTTATGTTTTTTATTGACAGGCATTTAAGCCGTAATTTTGGTTTCTTTAAAACTTTGGGCCTAAAGGGACCGAAACCAGTGGTCATATTCGGTAATCTATTAGATTATTTATTTGTGTCAAAGCCTGACCTCGAAGTGCAGCGAATGAAACAATTT